TAGTTGTGTTTGAGTCCCTCAATTGTCCTCAGTGTGAAAAGATGGATCTCAAAATCATACAGTCACTGCTGGAAAGGGTTCAAATGTGCAAAAGATGCTGGAAAACTGAAGAATCTGCAGGACCTGGTGGATTTTTCTGAGGAACAGTGCTCAGTTTAACTGTTCAGAACAAACGAGGGACTCATGAACAACCATCACAAAACAAACAACAGTCGTAGATCATCCAGGTAACCACACACAGTATTAAGAACCAAGGGTTCCCAAACTTTTGAAGGGGCTTATTTGAATAATTTCAGCTATTTTTTTTGTCTTGTGGACTATATGTAAACATCTTTTATGTAAAATATCTTACTCAGGACAGTACTAAATAAAAAATAACAGGCATTTTGCATGATCTCTCTTATTTTGTTAAAATTATTCACATTTTCACAGATTCTGCAAGGGGTTCCCAAACTTTCGCATGCCACTGTATATATAAGATATTTTGAAAACTTTTGGTAACCAAATTGTTTCAGTTCCCACTGATTTCCATTGTATGGACAAAAAGTACAATGGAAGTCAATGGGAACTGAAACTTTAGTGTCACAGAAGAAAGAAAATCATAACAGGTTTAAAATGACATGAGGGTGAGCAAATGACCATAGATTTTTTTCATTTTTGTGTGAACTATCACTTTAATTTGATTAGTCAACATAATGTCATCAAATTAATCACAATATTTAATCAACTGACATCTCTAATTTTCATGTATTATTATTCAAAAGTTTGGGGGCTGGTAATTTTTTTCATGTTTTTGAAAGAAGTCTCTTTTTTTAATCACAAAGACAGTAAAACAATATGATTGTAAAATATTATTACAATTACAAATAACTGTTGTCTATTTGAATATATTTTAAAACTAATTTATTCCTGTGATGCTAAAGCAAAATTTTCACCAGCCATTACTCCAGTCTTCAGTGTCACAAGATCTTTTAGAAATCATTCCAATATGCTGATTTGCTGCTCAAGAAACATTTCTTATTATTAATGTTAAAAATGTCTGAACAACAGTGTACACACTGGGTGAAATCTTTGGGTGCGGCTTTAAGGTTTCATTTGCAAATGCAAGCATCCGTGGCGCACCTTTGCGAGGCTGGTGATGAATACTGATGGCCTGCGTCTGGTAGTTTCCATCGTCGTTCTGAACACATACAAGATGGGAATCCGCTCGTTCGTTGAAGCACGCTCCCATTGCCAGCACATGCTCGTTTGACTTATTCATAGCCTTCATGAGCTGAGAAAGGAGAAAGCCGAAAGAAATGCTCGTCATGACTTTCCAAAGTTATGCATAATCCTAACACTTAATTATGTTTTTAAGGGTTTATAAGTCCTAGATGAGTGAATGACAGCTTCTAAAGACACAAGGCACTCAAGGCTTTAAATAATCCCTTCTGTGTCAAAGGTCTGCCACTACAAGTTCTGCTCTGTCAAATGCTTTTTAAACACAAGCTAAATACCAAAAGTCTTCAACAAACTGAGAAAAGGACACAAGCTGTTGTCAATGCTTCACTTGTTCCATAGGACATTTGGCATCAATCTGCTAAATCTCAAATACACTTCGCCTGCATTCTAGTTTAAATGTGTTGCCACTAATGCTACAGAAATTCAAATAGCTTCTCTGTGGCAAGTGCTAGTTTTATTCACCTCATTGTAACGGTTGCTCGGTATCTTGATGCACGTCTTCCTCACTTCCATGTCCACCACCAGCCCCTTCACCACCGGCAAGGTGTACTGGTAGTTACGGAAATCCTGTAGACATGTGAGAAAAGTCAAGATGCCCATAAATGACTTGACTTGGGTTAAGGCATGTACTAAACGCAGAAGAAGCAGTGAAATCAGAACACTCACTGCCAATAAGTTCATAATGGTATGACCAGTCTCTCCAAAAAGGGGTTTTCTGAAGCGAACGCTAAATAGTGGGCAGGGGTAGACTGCAACACAAGTGCAAAAGAACACTCTAAGCCACCAAAACAAGTCATGCTATTCAAATCAGAAGCTCACAATAAGCTCCTTCACACACCACATAACTGAAAGGCCCCATTATATAATACTGCAATTACTGTAATGTAATGTACTGTAATGTACCCACATAAACATGAGACTAGAATGTACATGGTGCTTCTTTGTGTAAGTGAGCGCACTTGCATGCCATGGCTGAAGATTCATGAGTTGAGAAGCTCAGCGGGAAATACATTGTTAATATATTCCATCTCTACAGGAGGCTGTGCTTACGAATTAGTGCAGAGAAATTCTCTGTGTAAGAAGAATGACATTTTCTGCATTCTTGTTTCTTAAACAGCTCTTCTACAGGCATTAAAAAGAGGCCTTGCATTCTCTATTTTCTGTAAACGCACACCTCACCATGTGAAGAGGTCAAATGTAGCAATCAAGATCTTTCAATGTTCAACAGCTAAACCATTGCAAAAACCTCAAAATCAACATCAAACCACAAACTCACATCGGTATTCCGCCCCTAGGCGGAGCATGAGTCGGATGGGAAAGACCTTGGCCCAGGGGGTCTCCCACTTCTGCACCAGGATGCCAAAGAGGTAGGGTGGGTTGGGCAACGGCAGGTCCTGCAGGGTCTGGAAGGTGGGGCTAATGTAAAGGAAGCCGCCGTGTTCCTTGCTGCCCAGGAAGCTCTGAGTGAAGAAGGAGTGGCCCAGGTGACTTAATACATTTCCTGCACAGAAGGAAGTGTAGGATTAGATCAATCTCTACCACTGTGCTTAAATTCATGCTTAAATTATTTCCAATTAGATAAAAAAGAAAAACTATTTAGATGGCTAAACAACTTTGCTGTCAAACGATTAATCGCATCCAAAATAAAAGTTTTTGTTTACATAATATATGTGTTTGTACTGTGTATATGTATTATGTATATATAAATACACACACATGCATGTATATATTTAAGAAAAATATTAAATTTATATATTAAATATATTTATATATGATAGAATTTATAAATATATACAAGTAAATACATGTAAATATTTTCAAAATATATGCTGTATGGGTCTTTCTATGTACATAATAAATATACACAGTACACACACATATATTATGTAAATAAAAACGTTTATTTTGGATGTGATTAATCGCAATTAATCGTTTAGCAGCACTACCATAAATAATAATAATAATGTTGTTGTTATTAATAATAAATTGCATATGTTCTGAACAGTTGTGGTCTAATGGGTATTTAGTTATTGCATCAAAAAGCAGCAATAAAATAGTATTAAAAATCTACTTTGTATATCACTTATAAGACAAATCATCTGTATCAGTATAAAACAATCTCAATTAATAGCTACAATAAAAAACATCCAAGATGATAGACAGACTTACATGTTAATTTTGTCTATATTTTATTCACAAGTAGAGTGGTTGCATTCAATCACAAATTAGCCATTTCAATATTTCTTTTGCATTTTGATGGTTATTAGTGAATATTTTTTTTTGCTTTGCAACATTTTGCTAGATTATTTTGCCAGTCTAGTACTACCATTCGGTGAAGGGTTGCTGCCTATATAGAATGTAAAGATCTGTGAAATAACATCTGTGGAATTTCTTGAGGGCAAAAGTGACTAAATTGCATCCAATGAAAATAACAATTTTGAAATCTTGAAATTCCCATTTGCGTGCATTCCTACTGAACCAGAGCTAAATGTGACCACTGCTTTATGAAGTCCAACTTAATTTAGGATGTTGACTGTTGACTGTTGACAGAGCTTTGGATTGTAGTACTAAAATGGCTACAGCCCATAATGTTTCACTCCAGTAGAACAAAAAAAAATTCATGAGAGTTCTTCAGCATTGGCCACTATGTAACCTGATGGCCATTTAACCTGGCCAGACAAATAACATTCTTTTACTGAACACATCTGAATTGGCCTCCACACTTTTGGCACACATCCTACATTAGGCTCACAGGGAATGCTGTCAGAGTAAGAAGACATGGGAACTGTTCTGTGGCTGAACCCACTGACCTGAAGTTGGACTGGGAGACAAGAGGAGGATTGTGTCTGGAAAACAATTTCTGCTGAAGTGGATCCTCAATGCCACCAGGGCCAGCAGCCTCATTTGACCTTTAAGAGCCTCCTGGCAGAATGGTCTAATCTTAACTATGTAGGCCTTGCTCTCATTTTGTCTGGTGGAAGCGTATCAGTTTACCTGTGAGAGCCTCCCGGTACAGCTGGACGAAGTGGCTGAAGACGTCCTTGGGAATGGTTTTCTCGTCAGGGAGGCACTGTAGAAGCACTACAACCTCTGCCTGGCCCACGGCATGCATACCCTTTGTTGTCATATACCAGCACTTCCTATTTACATCTTCACACAAAGATGACACAAAAGACTGTTAGGACTCATGAGAATTGTAGGACATTCCTTGGCATAGTGAAGGAAATCCTCACGTTGCTAGTTTTCTGCAATTCCACAAAAGAATGACAATAGCCAAGACATACAGCTACCAGTTATGTTCAACTAAATGCTGCAATAAGTGCATTACATTCAATTAATTGCTAGAATTTTAACTAATAAATTGGGTGTTTCTTTAACTTTGGGCATATTTACATAAATATATACTGTGTGTAAATGGTTTATATACACTACCATTTAGAGCTGCACGATTATGACAAAAATCATAATTGTCTATTATTCCCTTGAAATTGTAATTGCGATTATTAATTACGATTATCACAATTTACATTGAATGATGTTTATACCATTGTTTTATGCAACTGCATGCCGTATATTTATATGAAAATAAACAAGCTGAAAACAGTCTAACTGAAAACACTTTTAGTGCTTTTCTATAGTATTAAGATTCAAATGTCAACTATACATCGGATTGGTTTCTTCTTTAAATTATAAAAAAGTAAAAATATGAATGGTATTATAATGTTATACTAAAACTAAAATTAAAATAATGGGAAAAACCCTTAAGATAACATGTAGAAAGAAAAAACCGCATCTTAAGCGTGCAGAATAACATAAGTGGACTTTGAACGATTAATTGCCGCTTTGAACGATTACGTAATTGTGGCATCCATAATTGTAATCGCGATTAGAAATTTGATTAATTGTGCAGCCCTACTACCATTCAAAATTTGGGGTCAGTAAGATTTCAGTTTGTTTATTTATTTATTTTACAAAATTAATACTTTTTCAAAAAGGATGCATTAAATTGATCAAAAGTGACAGTAAAGACATTCATAATGTTTCAAAATATTTCTATTTCAAATAAATGCTGTTCTTTTTCCTGAAGTGTTTTCAACATTGATAATAATAAGAAATATTTCTTAAGCAATTAGAATGATTTCTGAAAGATCATGTGACACTGAGGATGGAGTAATGGCTGCTGAAAATTTCAGCTTTATTAATAAATTACGTTGTAATAAATTTCATTTTAAAATGTATTAAAATAAAAAACAAAAGTTTAAATTGTAATAATATTGTGAAATAATACTGCAATTTAAAATAACTATTTCTACTGTATTTTTGGTCAAAATAAATGCGAGGTGAGACTTTTCTGTCCCAAATCTGTAGCACTATTTCTACCATATTAAAATACTTGGCCCTAGTAAAGTTTTTATATTTGTTTGTTTTAAAGGAGAGAGCAGTTTCAGTGAAAAACATGCTAGAGATGTAATGTGTGTGTAAAGAAAAATGAGGTACATTTTTAATTGTATTTTATTGTCATCAAGCTTTAAATGTCAAATTATGCAAAAACTGAAAAATAATTACAAATATGTATAGCCATCTGTGATTATTAACCTCTGCAAAATGTAGCTTTTTGGCATTTTATTCCAAAAACATTAAAAACAATAAAAAAAAATAAATAAAAAAAAAAGTGAAGATTCATTGTTATAGGACAAATTAAATTAAAAAGAAAGAATTTGAAAATTGTGTTTTAAGATCATTTATTTTTCTTTATAAGCCCTATCTAAAGGGCCAAACATGCCCACAGTTAAAGAAACACCCATGAACAAATATTTCACAAAGTCACACCATTAGCACATTAAACTCTAGAGAACATCTTAGCAAGGAGTGGCTTACTCACAATTGACCAGTTTGACCATGGCCAGCAGGTTGGCGTTGAGGACAAACACCAGGGGATCAGGGCCGCCCTCCTCAAGCTGCTGCATCAGTACAATCTCAGAAGGTCTTTCCTCCACAGCATAGTCTGCGGACAAGACACACAATATCAATACTGTAACTATCGACCAATTGATCCATGAATCTATTCGGTTTCCTCTCATGGTACAACCCAGATGAGGAACCAACCCAATGAAAGTCCTCCCTTAGCATGAGTGGTGACAAAATAAGCAGAAACACAGATCCATGCACACAGACATGCACAAACAATCACAGATACTCATATTTAGAGGAGTGGAGGCAGCTGAATGGTGAGGATGGGCAAGCACCTGTGATGTGGCCTCCCGTACCTCCTTTGACGCCTGTGGAGATGAGGATGGGAGGAAGTCCGTCCTCTGGGATCAGACTGAGAGAGCTGCCCACAGGGCTAGCCATCGGAGCTCCAGTGGCACGGGCCGCCTATGGCAGGGGAGGAGACAGAAACTTATACCGCAACATAACACGACCGTCTCAGGACAACAATCATGTTCAGAAACAAGCTTATGCTTGTAAAACTCCATATTATAGATGATTCGAAAACAGTTTACTGAGTTTGAATGTGATAAAGCAAACTGTCACCTCAGAAGCATTGGCTCCTGAGGATTTGTTTGAGTACTGGGATGCTGCCACAGGCTGTGTGGGGTTGGGGTTTGCCGCCGGCCCTTTAGAAGAGTCTGTAGCTTCCCCATTTGGTAAAATGCCGTCAGCAAACCAAACCCTTCTTTGCTCTCGAGGAACAGAGCCTGGAAGTACACACACACAATGAGGCTTATGAATAGCTAATTCTGGACTTTAAACGATAAACAGCATAAAAAACTGTTCAAATTCAGTGTAGAGTTAAGGGACCGGCAACATATAAGAACAAACTGCCCGGTCCTGCAGATTTGCTTTATTCAACATCAAGAAGATCAGGCTCTTTCTTTCGGAACATGCTTCACAACTCCTTGTTCAAGCTCTTGTTCTGTCCAGGCTGGACTATTGCAATGCTCTCTTGGCAGGTCTTCCAGCCAGTTCTATCAAACCTTCACAATTAATCCAGAATGCAGCAGCAATATTAATTTTTAATGAGCCAAAAAGAATGCACGTCACACCTCTGTTAAATCAATTTGCACTGGCTACCAATAGCTGCTCGCATAAAATTCAAGACATTAATGTTTGCCTGCAAAACCACCACTGGCACTGCACCCCTTTACCTAAATTCATTACTTCAGACTTATGTGCCCTCTAGAAGATTGCGTTCTGCAAGTGAACGGCGCATTATTGTGCCATCCCAAAGAGCGATCAATTAATCGATTAATCGTTAACCTTAATGCTGCAAAATGCGTCTATGCAGCCCGGCATGACAGAATGTGCAAAAGTTACTAAAAAAAAAACCCCGCTTTCTCACCCGATTTAAAGGGGATTTAGTCTGAATAAAATGCTAGTAGTAGGACTGTAAAATGAATAGATATGATTATGATCATTTGATCAAATGAAGAGAGCTCGTTTGAGAATTTTACTTTGTTGACTGTTTCCAGATTTAATCCCCAAAAGTGTTTACTTTTATTTCTGCACACTCACAATAAAAACAAGATTTGTGCTTTTGCAAAATAAGGCAAACAAACAGAATGCGCGTTGTCATCCTTTCCTTTCCGTGAACTTGTTTATGCGCCACACTTCTGTTTTAAATCTGTTAACTTAATTATTTAAGCCAGAATTTTGACCCAGGGCTTGAAAACCTATGCCTAGGTTAGTTAGGTCCATGCAGAAACTTGTGAACGATGCTCGTAGTTGTGGCATCACCGTTTAGTGACAGCATTGAATGCTCCGGGAAAACGTATAGCCAGTGTCGGTCACAGCGCCTTTTAATTGCTGTTTTGAGTCCAGCAATTATTTATTTACAAATTATAAGCTCTGATTATGACACGTGTGATATAAAAGCTTTGTTTATTAGAGGAATAATTGGTTAGCTGGAAAACGTTACATCGCAACCATGCTTTTGGATGCCGTTCGAGCCCATATAGCCTACATTTATGCGGCTTTGTTCTGGTTTCCCGGTTGGTCACGAATTTCCAAAAATTCAATAATATTTAGGCATTGTTTCTTTTCCTAAATCCTCACCGTCTAACCCTCTAATTTCGCAGGTTTATTTTATTGTCATTCACTTTTTATCACTGTTTTCGCATCTAAGGGAAATGAAAGATTTCATGTCCATGAATTAAGAATTCGTTCGATTTATTAATTTGTTCCCTCATTTTAGTTAAATCATGGGTTATTTAAGGAACAAAATTAATGAAACATGGACAGTTGCCACAAATTAATAAGTCGTAGGAACGAATTAACAAGTTGTAGGAATGAATAGCCTATCTGTCCTGTGTCCCGCAGCCCTGCAAAGCGCAGAGAACGATATGAAAGAATTATCTGGGGAAATGACTGTTACTACATTTCTATTGCATTCCATGTTGAAGAACTTTGTGTTGTTTCTATTTGAATGTACTTTTAAAGTTTAAATCACATTAAAAGCTTAATTTGTACATTATGAATGAATGATGATGCATTTATATACCGTCACCGTCACTCACAGCCGCTCGCACGTGTTTTGCGCATGAGACGCACGCAGCCCAAAATTAAACGACTTAATCGACCATCGATAGCTTTAATCGATTTAATCTCTTATCAACCATTAATCGATCATCGATTAATCGTTGACATCCCTACTTCAGACTTATGTGCCCTCTAGAAGCTTGCGTTCTGCAAGTGAACGTCACTTTATTGTGCTATCCCAAAGAGCCACAAAATCACTTTCACAGACAGCTCCCTCCTGGTGGAATGACCTGCCCAACTCAATCCAAGCAGCTGAGTCCTTAGCCATCTTCAAGAA